ATATTTATTACTCCTTTTTTTTTAATGCTTGCATGAAAGGCTTACTAATGAGAATAAGGGGAGTAAAAGCAGTAAAGATAGTTTTAGGAGAATGGTAAAATTCTTTAAAAAATGCCTTGATGAATGAAAATGAAGGATAAGGCAAAGGAATTTTCAATTACCATTGTGGATCCAGTTAATATCAGTAAACATAAGTTTGCAATTTCATTTACATAGTTTGGAAACAAATCCTCACCCCCAATCTTAAAAAAAAAACAAAACAAAAACAACTGCCTATGCTAGAGATACAGATTTGGAAATTATTGCTGAGATATAGTTGTTGAAGTTACAGTAATAAATGAGATCCTAAAGATGAAGACCATATAAGAATAATATGTCAAGACAGAAACTAGAAAAAGGGGGAAGAATTAGACACTGAAGAACAAGACGGTAGTAATTAGTTACCTGAGAAAATTCTATTTCATTATTTGATAAAGACAGAACCTGATTACAAGGGGTCAAGAAAAAAACTGGAGGTAAGGAAAAGGAGTCAGTGAATATAGATTACTCTGTTGAAGACAACTGCATTGTTTTCATTTTGAAGCCATTACGAAAAAGGCCACTAGGAACCTATGGGTGTTATGATGCCCGTGTGAGTAAAATTCTGGGATATATATATATATATATATATATATATACACACACACACACACATACACATTCAGGAATAGAATTGTTGGTTATAGGGTATGAATACCTTCTTTTAAAAATTTCTAAGTTGGGTAAGCAATCTATACATCTATCCCCAAAGAATAGTAACAGTTTCTCTTATTCTGCAACTTAATTCTACCTAGCACTGTTGGCATTATTCATTTTAAAACATTTGGTGGGTGTGTAACAATATGGCATTGTAGTTTTATCTTCCCTTTCTCTGATTCTTAGTGAGAGTGAGCACCTTTTCATACATTTGTCAGCCATTTAGGTTTTCTCTCTTGTGAAGTCCCCGTTCAAATCTTCTGCCCATTTTTTCCCCTAATTTCCTTGTACTTTTCCTACTAAATTGTTAGATTTCAGTATTTTTTCTGGATAACTAGTCTTTTGTCAGTTGTATATAGTGTATCTATTCCTACTCTGTAGCTTGTCTTTTACCTTAATCACGTTTATTGATGAACGAAATGTTTAATTTTAATGTAGCTAAATACATCAATATTTTCCTTTATGGTTAGTGGTTTCTGTATCTTAAAAGGAATCCTTCCTGAGTGACATCAGTGAAAACAGCAGAGTAGAGAAATCCAAAATCCCATCACTCTACTAAAGCAGAAAATAAATTGGCAAAAACAGCCAGAATGAACTTTACCAGAACTCTGAAAATGAATAAAATGTTTACAACCAGGTGAACAGTTAACCAAGAAAAACAAACCAAAAAGGTGGCCTTGAAGACAACAGCCCACATTCCCAATACACGTCTGCAGTACCAGAGGGAAAACAAACGTTATTTGAAAAGAAGTGCATTTTTTTTTTTGTTTTGAAGTATCTTATGACTTATTGAAGGACACATTCAAAGGGCTTGCCTTTATTTCATTAACTCAGAATACTCCCAGGGTTGAGGCAGCTACTCCTTGGGTAGTGTTTGTCCAATTATTAAAAGGCAAATGCATTAGCCACTGTCATCTGGACATGGGAAAATAGGACAAACAGATAAAGTGAAAAACCTGGCAGTGAAAGCTATGAAATGAGGTACTTTCAGGCATAAGGACTCTGAAAAGCTCTCATATATTCTTTGGACTCTAAAAGGCCAGGTTTTCCCAGGGCTGGGCACATCCTTAGAAAAGACCTGAGGCTCTATACAAGCAGGAAATGAAAGCTAATGCAGAGTTGTAAATTGCCTGGCTGAGTGTTGAAGTGTGACCTAATATATACAAAGAGCTCATCTGCAAAAAATGGGAGATTTTCTCTGATTTTTTGTTTTGTTTTTATTATTGTTAATTTTTTGGTTCCAGGCATTTAAGGAAATACCTGTCAAATCACTAGTTGAAAACTAATGAAACAGAAACTTTGGAGGTTAGGCACAGCAAAGGAAATACAAGCTTGACAAAGGTATTTCAAAAAACGAACTAAACAAACTACTGCTGCTGAACAAGCCACAACAAAAAGCCCCAGGAAGAGGGGAGAAT